GCCGAGCGCCGCGCGCAGAGCGGAGGCCGCGGGGAGAAGAGGCCGGCCCAGGCCTTCGACGTCCGAGGTCAGTGGCTCTCCAGTGCCACATCCTGCAGGACGAGAACATACGGTGCGCTCTTGAGCCACAGTGCTTTTTCCACAGCATGTGTGTTAGCGTATTTCTCCACAGTGTGCGATTTGTTCCACAGTGTGCGTGTTTCCACGGAGGAGGGGGAAGAGGAGGAACAGAGTATCGAAGGATTCCGGAGCACGGCGCTGCAGCGGGCTCAGCAGCCAGTGGCGGCCTTTGCTGCTGCCAGGACAGTGCGCTGAAATGTGGGAGTGGCTGGAACCCTCCCTCGCGCATCATATTCTGCCTCAAGTTCGTGGTACATTCCATGACAATGCCCTGATGCAAACGGCTACGTGAATATTCCATTTCTGGTTCAGGGTCCGTCCCCAGTCCGAGGCGGGTGATGGGGCAAGTGGGGAGGTGACCACCGGGGAGCGCAAGAAGGTGAAGCAGGCGAGGGCAAGAAAGGCTGCGGCTGAAATCATCTCGGGCTGGACGTTCACACCCAATACAAACAGCATGCCCGAGGAACCACGGCTGGGATCCGGGCTGAGGTGGCCCACGCGCCAGCCAAGGTCTCGATGCGGGTTCTTGCCCAGCTGGCGGGGTTCTCACATGAGAATCCTGCGAACACTGGCTGTGGGCGGGAGCGGCGGCCGTCCGCCTCGGCGGCGCGGAGCTCCACAGTGGCCGTCGTCACGCTCTCTTGCCAGGCGTGCCCGGGGTACACGTCGGTCGGAAGGAGTACGTAAAAACATGAAGTAGGAAGGCGGATTAACTGGATTGGGTCCAGGCCCTCCAAGAGAATAGCAAAACACAGCAAAAGCGTGTCGATTCTTGAAGTAGGAAGGCGCTTGAAGTAGATTGGGATCTGGGAATCCAAAGATACCTACTTGCAACGACCGGCGTGTACCCATGGGGGGGTCGGAGGAAAGAGAAGTCAGAGTGAGGGGGCCGAACGGTCGTTCACTGTCCCTGGGTGCGTGGCTGAAGTGGAATTCCGCGGTGCGGATTCTCGTTGTTGTTTGTTGTTGTTTGTTGTTGTTTGTTGTCGTCGTCCCACCCGCAACCCGCCCCGCGACCCACCCGCGACCCAACCCGCGACCCACCCCCGCGATCCACCCGCGACCCACCCGCGACCCACCCCGCGACCCACCCCGCGACCCACCCCGCGACCCAGCCCGCGACCCACCGCGACCCCCCGCGACCCGCCCGCGGCCCACCCCGCGACCCACCCGCGACCCACCCGCGACCCACCCGCGACCCACCCGCGACCCACCCCGCGACCCACCCGCGACCCACCTTCGACCCAAACCACGTTCAAGGTACAAACCACCATTTTCGGCGCCTGCGGCGGCCTTTTTTTGCATTCCTTCCAGGTGGAGAGCCCGCGACCCACCCCGTGACCAACTCGCGACCAACCCGCGACCCAAACCACGTTGAGGGTAAAAACTACACTTTTCGGCACCCGCGGCGGGCATTTTTTGCATTCGCTTCAGGTGGAGAGCCCGCGGCCCACCCGCGACCACGTTCAGGGCACAAACCACCTTATTCGGCGCCTGCGGCGGGCATCTGTTGCATTCGTTCCCGGTGGAGAACCCGCGGCCCACCCGCGACCCAAACCACGTTCAGTGTACCAACCAATGTTTTTGGCGCCTGCGGCGGGCTGCTTTTGCATTCCTTCCAGATGGAGGTGGAGAGCCCGCGACCCACCCGCGATCTAACCCACGTTCACTGAACAAACCAATGCCGCACGAACGCGGCGGCGGATTTTTGCGTGCCGTCGGAACCCGCAAGGACCTCTTCAAGCCCCGCGCATCCACACCAGCCCGTCCAGCAACTTTGCCCTGGCGAGTTGCCTTGATCAGAGAAGGCGGGGAGCATAAAGTGGAAAAAAGGATTGCGTTGCAGTTATCTTGGGAAAGGAGGGGGAGGCAGGAGGAGTAAACAGGGGACGAGGAGAACGCGGAAGAAGAGAGGATGTAAGGAGAATGTGGAGAAAGAAAAGGAGGAGGAGCAGGAGGACGAGGGGGAGGAGGGGGAGGAGGGGGAGGAGGAGGACGAGGAGGGGGAGGATGGGGAGGATGATGATGATGGACGACAATGGGAGGACGATGATGGAGGCCGATGAGGGGGAGGACGACAATGGGAGGACGATGATGAAAGGACGAGGGGGGAGAGGGAGGACAAGGAAGAAGAGTAGGAGAAGGAGGAAAAGGTGGAGGAGGAGGATGACGATGGCGATGAGGACGAGGACGAGGAAGAGGAGGAGGAGGACGATGAGGAGGAGGAGGAGGAGGAGGAGGAGGAGAGCGCCATCGACAGGGAGGGTGGGGGCCACGAGGTCCGCCGGCTCGACGACGCCCGCGTCGTCCGCGCCCGCCCCCTCACTCTTATCCGCAATTGCGGGGTGTTACGTAAAGTACTCTGCCATGCCAACCCTGTTCCTCCACCGCGCATGGGGAGTAGACCTTGAACGAAATCCTCCAGAGTCACATGCATCCCAGCCTGTCCTTGTAACTGCGTGAGCGCGGGACTCCACCCGATCACCGACCCCTTCTCCAGAGCATGGTGCGAACGGCGCGGACAGGGGGTGACAGAGAGGAGCCATGCTCCGATGCTCAGAAGTTCAACGAACGAGCAGGAGCGAATTCAGAGGGAGGCGCACGAGAATGAAGGAGGAGGAGGAGGAGCGCGATTACTGCTGGTGTTGTTTGGTGTTGTGTGTGTGTGTTTTGTTTGGGCGTCTTGATCTGTATGTACGACTGTTTGACGCTCCGAGAGGCCCCTGGATGCCTCCAGACGAACCCCGGAGACCTCCAGAGAGCTCCATGGACCTGCGGGAACCTCTGGGGGCGAGACAGGACCCAGACCTGCCCTGAGTACCTCACAGCTGAGGGGGGGAGCTCTTCCTGGAAGGAGCTTTCTTTAAACGTTGGAAAGCTCGCTTGCATGGAGGGGTGAGGGGGAGGGGGGGGGGCGAGCTTGACGAGTCCCGAACGGAAGCCTGGACTTCATGCAACTCAGGACTCACTTGCACGCCTTTCTGGCCAAACGCTGTTTGAAAAGGAAGGCCGCGGGGGGGGGCAAGTGCGATACAAGTAAGCCTGCCAGAGGCTAAAACAAAGCACCCTCATCCTTCCTGTTGCCAGAAGTGTCCTCGGTCCATGATGTCCCAAGGATTTTCAGAAAGGCCCCCACGGCCTCCAGAACACCTCAGGGACTCCAAAATGGAGCGAGAAGCTAGGGACACCCTGGGCCAGGGACGCCATTAGCGAGCCCCGACCGTGTGAGAGCTGCAGGTCTCCAGCCCAGGTCATGCAGCGCGATGCGAGGTACTTTGGGATCGTGGTCTCGTGGTTCTGCGATGCGCGATGCCCCTTCTACTCATACAGTGCGGCTGCGCCTAGTCTGCAGAGACGGATGCGACTGTGAATCGATGACGTTGAAAAAGGGTGCCTCCTCCTGAGGCCACGGACCCAGCGCAGCCTGCACGCGGCAGAGCCCTGGCCGCGGGGAGCGCGCGCTCACCGGACAACGACACATACTGCCGGCAGGGGCAGTGTGGGCGCACCGCAGGGCCCCCCCCCCCCCTTGCAGGAGGTAAGGCTCGGCCCTTCTGCCTCCTCCTCCTCCTCCTCCTCCTTCTCCTCCTCCCCCCCCGCACTCCGCCGCAGAGCCCACCCGGAGGGCCCGAAGGCAGCCAACGACTGCTCTTTCTCGGACCGTCGACGACGACACCTCGACCACCGACCCTCGACGGCGACGCAGGGCAGGTTGTGTGGCGCCGGCAGCCCACTGCAGCCGGCCTTCGCGCGTCTCGCCTTGCGGTGCGCGCCGAATTGTCGCGCTCTCCGGCTGCGCCCAAGAGGAGGGTCAGGCGGAGAGGGGAGGGGGGGGGGGTATCGTGGCCCGAGGCATGTGCGCGGACCAGAGGAGGGGGTGGGGACAAGGAGCACCTCGAAAGAAGACGGGTGGAGGCCGTGAATTCTGGGAAATCTCCTGGCTCCCGCCATGGTATCCACCCCAGTAGCCCCCACCTCTTCATAAGGACGCACCCGAGCTCTCACCCTCGGCTACACGCAGGAGTCACACTGGGCAAAAAAGCAACCTATGTTGCGCGGCTTGCCAGTCGTTGTTTGTCGTGCGACAGTGGCGGCATGCGTTCCTGGGATCGGCCCCCGCGCGCCCCCCGGAAGCCACGTCCAAGAGGTCCACTCCGACGAATTGTCACTCCTACGTGTCGCCGACACGGCGCCCCCTGGAGAGGGTGGCACCCATCCAGCCTAGGCCGCGAGGCGTGCGGTTAGTTACACCTTCGCGCACCCTGTGCAGAGGACATCCCGATTGCATCCCTGGAGATTCCGAAGGAAGAGCGCCACGGGGCCTCGAGACCGGGCAAGTACCCCAGGCCCATTTCTCGATCGCTGCACGCTGCAACCGCCACAGGCGGGTGGATGGCGAATCGGATAGCACCTACGGCATGTTCGCGTCGCGACTACTTCGGCGCTGGCCCCGCGTGGATCGTTCAACCTTGGAGCGATCGCGGCCTCCCGATAGCGTAGGGTCATTCGATGTCGGCCCATTCTGGGCCACTGGCGGCGTCCAACTTTGAACGAACGCGCTGGGGTTAAGCCGGGCCTGTCCTCCTACAGGGGGGTTTTCGACGAAAAATAAAACATACCCCAAAATACTCCACGAAGGTAAAGAAATATGCAAAAAATAGTCCCCATGATATTTTTGGACAAGTGTTTGATTATTGTTGGGGTATGTTTTATTTTTCGCCGAAAATCCCCCTGTAGGGGGAAAGGCCCGACTTAACACTGTGGTCGCCGCCGCGTCGACACGACGCGAACCTGCCGCTGGCGGCATCCCCCTGCGGCAAGGGAGCTGTCGCGAAACAAGCTCTCCTCCCGAGTGCCCACGGGCATGGCGAGCTCCCTGCTCAGCTTGGCGTAAACGTGGTCGCCACCGAGGACCGCGACCTTCGCGTACCCGGCCATCGAGAATATCGTGTCCAGCTCATAACCCGACAGCCCTTCTGGGCCCCGCGACGGCAGACGATCTGATCGGGGCGCCTCCTGGATTTCGGATCCCCTGCCCTTCATGGCTGCCTGCCCCGTCTTCCCACACCTCCGACGCCGTGAATTATTCACGACGTGGTTCCCAGAGTTCTCCATCCCGTACAGTCATCCAGCTACTATATGGGAAACCGTGGGAAACCGAATGAAATAATTAAGAGCGAAGGGGCTTTTCTCGCCACGGCGAGCCTCGGTCACGAATCAATTTCTCGACCTAGATCTAAGGAACCTCCCGTAAACCAGAGCCTCTCCTGAGCCCAAGGTGGTCTTTACTTCACCGTCCTGACTGTCTGGTACATCCCAAGTACCCTGCCGGGGACTGGATTTGCGTCGCGAGCCGTCTTCTGACGGTGCTGGGGTTCCTGACAGGGCCCACCTCGACGTGAAGAAAACCGTACACTCTTGAAGGCTTGCTTCGATGTGTACGATGTGCACTGGCTCTGGTGCACATGGTGCAGATCAGTCCTGTCGTCTTGGAACATGCCATGCCGCTGGATGCGTTGGCGCTTCTGCTTGTGGAGCTGCAGGTGCCAATCGTCACCCTCAGCCATTCTCCTCGTCACCCTCGACCTCCTTATGGTGCACCTGCTCCTCACCGTCCTCTGGCCCTTCTGCCGCACCCTCTCTTCCTCCTCATCATCATTGCTGAAGCGTGAGTCCTGTATGAATTGCAAAAGAAGTCTTGAGAGTCAGCGTGATTCCCAAGTAAATCGTGAGGAAGGCCAGAGCGAGGGTCGCGACGAAAGCCCACGCGAGGGCGCGATTCCTGCATACGTTGTTAGGAAGTCCCGCGCGAGAGCGCGATCTTAGAATACTGGTGCTCCTACACATCCTTCCTCCTACTCCTCTTCCTCCTTCTCCTCCCCGTCGCCTCCCACGCCTTATCTTCTGCGTATGGTCTTCACCCAGCTCCTCCCCCTCCCGCCTTTTTGTTCCCCTCCTTACCCTGCTCATCCTTCTCAGTACCCCCCTCGCCCTCATCCTCCACCTCCTCAAAAACGTAGGTTTCGAGCCACAATAAAAGGACAACCTCTAGAAACATACATCACATACCGTTCGAGCCCCAGGAACAAAGGCACTCTACAGGAACATACCGTACCCCCGTCCAACCAACTTTCCTCCTCCTCGCCGCCGTCCTCCTCATTTTGCATCTCTTCCTCATTGTCCTTCCTCCCGTTCTGCTTCATCATTCTCCTCCTGCTCCTGAACCCGGCCTCCTCCTGCCCCCTTGGCCCCCCGCCCCCTCTGTGCAGACGGGCCTCCCCCCCACACAAACCAGCTGAGCTTACTTTCGCCGATCTCTATCCCCACCGGCGTGGCCCGGGCCCCACGCCGATCCACCCCGCGGATGGGAATACACGCTGCTCCACTCGGCGTCTCGAGGGGCCTGTCCCCAACTGGGGAGGTGGGCTGGTGGGACTGAGATACCATGGCATGGTGGGGATGGGGAAATGGTTACCAGCCTCGAACTGATCCCTATCCCTAAGATTGACACGCCAAAAGGCGATGACAATCTTAGGGATGCGCCCTCAAAAGATAAAGGGAATCCCTAAGATTGGCATCGTGACGAGGAGATGCCCAGCATAGGGACAGGGATATGTTCCAGGCTGGTAAAATCGGTCAAACGATCCTGAACAGCGCTCCTTGGTGATCGCCCCCAATGCGGCCTTCACTGGTCCCCCGCGGCCTCAGCAAGGAAGTAATCATCGAACACAGCAAAAAAGGGCTGAAATGGGCCCTGCAACTGGCAGGGCCTTCTTCTGTCCGATCCCATGCTTCCGTTCTTGATTCCAGCTCGGTCGCCGCTTTTACTTGTCAGCTTCCGTCGCCGTTGTTTTCCGGTCCCCATTTGGATTCTGGTGAGGCAGCCCCGGGACCTACGCTGTTCACAAACCTCTCCCGCGGCGCCCCGTCTCTGTCCAAGACATGCGGCAAGCCATGCCAATCTTAGCATCATACCAGAAGAACCTTGACCCAGGTTCTGCCAGACCCCACAGGACGTGGAGAAATCGGGCCCATGGTCCAAACATGGTGACGAACTGTACAGGGCCATCCTTTGGCTCGAAATCTGTTAACGTGCCGACCTCTAGAGCTTCAGCGGCAAATCCCTCGATCGCCTCCTTCTGCTCCTGCTCCGCACCCTGATCCTCTGTCCCTCGTTTTACGGCTTACGAGGCCCGCTCGTAGTTGGAGGGTCGCAGGTGGGACACTGCTGCCAACACATGAGAAGCAGCACGGCTACTTGAAAAATCGCTCGTGAGGACCCTTACTCAACAGGACCTGAAGCCAATGCTGGGGGCCGAGCTGCGCCTGAAATTGCCGCGCAAGCTGGAGAAGCATCCAAAAGAGGGACCCACGCAACCCACAGCCCCTTCCGCACCGAGGGCGCCCTTTTCCCCCGCGGAGGGGGCGAGGGAGAGGGAGGAGGAGGAGGAGGAGGAGGAGGAGGAGGAGGAGGAGGAGGAGGAGGAGGAGGGAGGAGGAAGGAGAGGAGGAGGAGGAGGAGGAGGAGGAGGAGGAGGAGGAGGAGGAGGAGAGGAGGGGGGGAGGAGGAGGGAGGGAGGACGGAGGAGGAGGAGGAGGAGGGAGGAGGAGGAGGAGGAGGAGGAGGAGGAGGAGGAGGAGGAGCGAGCGTCCCAAAATGTCTCGCCCCCTCATCGCCCGCGCTCGCGCTCGGCCGCGCGTGCGCCCGCCTCGCGGCCTCTCAAGGCCGTCGCGTTGACGTCGAAGGAGTCGCCGTCGTTGAAGTTCTCGGAGTCGCCGACGGCGACGGTGTGGACGCCCATGTGGTCGTCGAAGTCGTGATGAACAGCAGGTACATGACCAGGGAAAGCGCCGCCAGCCACCACCGCAACCAGCTCGATGAAGGTCGGGTCGGACTCGGCCGTGTCCGTCGGCCAGTTGTCAACTTCATGAAGACGCGGGAGGAACTCAGGATCATCCGCCTCCTCTGGTAGATCGTCACCAGGAGCACCAGGCACATCGTCGTGAAAGGAGACTTGGGTGAGGAGCATTAGCAGCGCCTGGCGAAGTTGATCAGGCTCAAGAGCGTCAGGGTGGTCAGGATGCTTCGGGCCAACCATGAGTGGAGCAGCTGGCGACGAAATAAATGCCGACGACGCCAACGAAGTCGCAGAAAATGGCGGGAGGATGTGGGGAATCAGCAAGTTGATCGCGTCCAATGTATTTTGCTGAATCGATCCCCACTGCGGCGTCTCGTTCCAACCCCAAGGCCCAGTGTTAGCAGCCTGGGAACCCAACTCCCACCCTTGGCCAGCGGCGCGCTCACGAGGAGGCAAACGAGGGCGGAGTAGCTCTCTGGGTCCCCCAGGAGGAGGCAGACGAGGACGGAGGAGCTGTCTATGATCGCCAGGAGGCCGAGGGAGTCCAGGATGATGCGGAACAACAGGTGCTGCACCGCCATGGTGCCCTGGAAGAAGACCAGGCGCCGACGAAGCTGCAGCAGCGGCGGAAGCGACCGCCGCGTCAACAACATGCGACTCGGCAGGGACAAAGGACTGCGCCAATGTAGGAAGCGGAACTTCAGGAGGCGCCGCCGCGCCGTTATCCAAACCACCATGGGGCTCCCCTGCCTCGACCTGAGGCGGCGACGGCACCATCATGGTAGCAGTGCGCGTAGCACGCGTGGGGCCCAACCAGGCAAGAACATCAGCATCGGCACCACGGTGGTTGAACATGCCATGCTTCTGGTGGCCTGGGCCTGGGACCGAAATGGTAGTCGTACTTGTCGTCGTGCATGAGTTCGCCCTCGAACGGTGGCGGAGGGCCCCTGCCCATCACCTCAGCGCTGTCATTCATTGCATCCATGATGCTGAGGTCCTCGTCCGTAGGCGAAGGGTAGTCAGGATGGGCAGCTGCATCGTCGCCCGGGGAATACTCGTGATCCTCAGAGGCTTCCGACGGCGGCATGGAGCGAAGCTTGGGCCTCGACGGGTCGACGTCCATCTGTTCAAGAGTGAAGTTGTGGAACCAAATCAGAGGGTTGGGCGCAGGTAACGACGAGGGCACAGGCGTTGCACGCCAGGTCGAAGCAGCAGCTACCCATTCAAGAAAGCGCGTACGATTTGGCACTTCCATCCGAGACGGATCGGAACGCCACTCAAGCGTTTGCAAGTGCTCACGAAGTTGCCCAAAGGCCGTATGTAGAACAACAGGATCATTCTGAGGTATGCCTCGCAGAAGATGTTGACGTAGCCGCTCGCGCGAGATAGCAGAGCCATACCAGCCCGCCATGCAAATTTCTTCGGCTGATCTTTTCATAGCCTTAACCAGGCTTGTCATGCGATTTGCGAACAAGGGAGCAAAGCCACGATAGTGAAGCACTCCATAGACGTAGTCCACACACCAGTCCAGCCACGCGTTGAAGTCGCTCTGGGGCTCGGCGTAGAAGATGGAGGGAAGCCAAGAAGATGCCCAAATGGTAGCCTTATTGGTGAGTTCTCGTCGCTGCCGCTCGGCCTCCTGCCGAGGAGTGCGCCCCGAGGAAGGTGAAGTAGGACGCGACGTAAGATCAATCGCCTCAATCGAAGTAGTCTGGCCCACAGGAGAGACTGACGGTCGGCACTGCACATCAACAATGCCTGTGGTAGCAGGGCAGCGGGGTGAGCCAGGTGAGCAGTGCGTACCCGTGAGGCGCCAGCTCTCAGGTCGGTACTCTCTGCCTGACGAAGCCCCCAGTGCTGGCCCACCACAAGACGATGATGCACAATGCGTGCCGACAGCCTCAGGACCAGTAGCTGAATCCCCCACCTCGAAGTCGACAGCGTCGCCAATGACCCCCATGCACGGAAATGAAGTGGACGTACACCCACTGTCTGACGAGTCGTCGCCGCTGCTTGAGGTTGTAGAAGAAGGCGGCGTGGGCGACGAAGAGGAAGAAGACGTCGAAGTAGATGAGACAGCTGGCTTGCGCCTTGGCGCCGGCGACTTGGGCCGCCGGCGCGGAAGTTGATCAGACCGCCGCGCGCTTAGAGATACGGTACGAATAGCAGCCAAGACCTGTGAGCGAACGAGTGCTGAGGACCAGGTACCAGCAGGGGCTGTATGGGACGCCGCATGATAGGCGAAGTGCATCACCACGATGTCGAAGACGACCTTGCCGATATCCACTGCGGAGCCGAAGAGGCCAAGACGACCAAGTGGGTGAGCAGGTCGAGAGAAGCCAAACACCTCCTCGCAAATGGCGCGGAACTTCGGGCACGAAAGGTAATGCTTGAGCTGGTCAGCAGCGTCGGCACAACCAAAGCGGCATGACAGGCGCCCACGGTTACCAAGTATGCGGGTTGACGTCGTCCAGCCGTTGGCAGCAGTTTCCAAGTACGCCATTGCCCACGAGGTTGAGCATGAGCGAAAGTATTTTGTGATATGAGACCATCTCGAGGCTGGAACTTTGGGTACACCATCGCAGCACATGTCGGGATAGGCGCGAACGAGCCGCACCACCAGCGAGTTCCAAAGCGGGCGTGGAGTAATATGCTTCTTGACCGCCATCGCAATGCACCTCTGCAGGCCCACTCCAGAGGGTGGACGAGGAGACGACGAGTAGCCGCCTGGCGAGCAACTGTCAGCAACTCGTGCGAGTATACCTTGGACTGGAGCGGGCCGTATTTAATGTTGAAAAGCGTCTCCGCGAAGGCCTCGCTGCGCCAGAAGGCGGGGCATGGGCGTGACGACGATGTCAGCGCGAGTGAGATGTAGTCACCCAGGCGACGACGCTGACGGTAAAGCCACGCAAACAACCGCTCGAACTCTGGCAGAGCACGGTAAGCAGCGCGAAGTAAAGACCCAGTGCTCATCGCCAGCCATGAGGAAATCGTCGGTCCACCCGCAGAGCGCAACTGAAGCCAGGCAGGCATCGAGAAAGTACCCAAGGGCAAACGAAATGAGCGCGACAATGCCACAAGTTCGCTACGCACGAGCCACTGCGGCATCAGACGGAGTTGGGCGACATATGAGAGCACGGTGGCGACGCGGGTGTTGTGGTGTGCTGGCAGGCGAGAAACAGGAAGATGACTGTGGCCAACCAATTTGGAACGTTCGTGGGCCTTCATCGCAGGCGCTGCCCAGCACGAGTCAGCATCGGCAGCAGGACCAATAATAAGCCCAATATGCTTGAGGGACCCGACGATGTTGATGCGGTCGAAGAACGGAACATGTGCGCAGAGCAGCGCGCGAACCTCATCAACTACAGCTTCCGAGAACGGCTTGTGCAGCGGAACCAGGTTGCATTTGCCGATCCTCCAGGGCAGCGTGGCAAACCTTTCAGCGCGCAGCAGGATGTCCGCTAAGATGGCCATGCTCAAGATGTTCCTGATGGCGGCCCCAATGTCGTCGGCGCAGGCTCGCGCGATACCTTTCCGTGGTGCTTCAAGCTGGCGCTGAAGATCCACGAGAAATGGGGCAGTAGACGCAGCGTAAAGGGAACCGCTCAAGGAGCAGCCTTGTACGATGCCAGACGTAGCCCACCATGCATGGGCAGGAACATTGCGGACCATCGCAAAAGCCTCGAGCTCCAAGTAGAGCTGGTCTATGATGGGCAAGAAGGCACCCGGCACCTGCATCTCGTCGAGCACCAAGTACATGAATTGCTGAGGAAGACTAGGAAAGGCAGCGCCATAGTCGAGAGCCACCAAGACAGGGATGTTGGATGCGGCCGACGGCGCATCTGAGTAGACCCTGCTGACCGCGTCGAGCTCCAGAGCGTTCACGCCGAAGTTCCTCTGAGGGATAAAGCCTCGCTGAGAGCGAGGGGCCCAAGATTTAAGAAGAACACTGAACCGCGCGTTGATCGTGGCCGTGATATATCTTGATATCGGTATTGCGCAGACCAAGCACTCTGACAGAAGACGGCGACCGAGTACAACCTGCGGCAACACTGTCAGCAGGGTCGTCACCTTTGGGAAGCCAAACTTGGAGCGCATCGTTGGACGACTTGAATAACGCCTGACCCGAGAGAAGCCACATCATAGCATCCGAGAGAACTGAAAGACCAAGAGGTGATGAGCTCCAAGCCGAGTAGGGAAGGCCATCAAGTCCAGGTTCGGAGTGGCAAAACTTCTTGGCAGCAGCACGGAGAAGCGACGGGGTCGGCGGCGGCACTGCATCAAGACACATTGGCTGAACAAGGCCTCTGACATAATTACGAGCAGCAGGAACATCAATTTGTTTAGCAGTGAAGATCGGAGCCCAGTGTTCCACGAGCTTGTCGTGCATGTGAATCTTGTCGGACGTGGAGGGCGCGCCTGTACCCGAATCTTTAATGCCTCGAAGAACCAGCCGACGTGATAGCGGTGACCAGATAGACGCACGCCTCTCGAGAGCCTGAAGTTGGTGGCGAAGTTGTGGGGAAGAGCGTCCACCAGCGAGCTCCGCCTCCAGGAGGCGTCGACGGAGGTCAGCATGACGCAGCTGAACAGCTTCGCCCCACTGCTGGAATGAAGGAGCATGTACCAGCGAGACAGTACCCGACGAGATGCCCACGAAGTCTGCGGCAGTCTGATGAGCAGCACGAAGGCGAACAGCAAGAGAGACATCATTGCGCCAAACCGCCCGAGAATTCTGCCTCGCCAGAAGAAATTGAGAGCCCAGGGCCTCGGGATCGCACCGGAGAAAACGATCGCGGATCCCACGCGCAACTTCTTTAACTGCCCACTTGAAGAGCTCAATCTGCCTGGGAGGTGAGCGACGCTCAAATCTAGCCGCCGATTGACAGAATTTAGCAGGTCCTGGATGGCCTCCGACTCGAATATGCGCCTCGGGATCTTCTGATACTCTAAAGGCTTTGTGGCGCGCTGCGAGACAGAAAAAGACTGGGCTGCGCGGTCACTCACCTCCTTCTCTGCCGAGGCCTCAGGAAGCCCCAAGACACGAGGAGCAGCGTGAATCTGGCACACGATCCAACCAGGAAGACTGACCCATAGCCTATCCAATGCAGAAACCGAGTGAGCGTTCGCGTCATAGTGAGTAGGTTCGCCAGACGTAAACTCACTGAGCGGCGCCAATAACTTAGACCACTTGGCAGCCTGAGCGCGCTGGCCTTTACCTGGGCCCCCGCGGCGACCAGGGCGATGGAGAAGAAGAGAAGAGGCAGCGAAATTAAAGTCCCCGTGCACGACCACAGTGACTGCCAAAGGGGAACTTCTAGCCAAACTGATATCAGCACCCAGGGCATTGCCAATCTTCTGGAACTGGGCACCATTGATGCCATGGTTGTGCACATTGCAGTGAAAAAGATGGCGCCCCCTCGTGCTGCAGATGAAGACGGAGCACGCGCCCAGGAACAAGTTCGTCAGGATGAACCGACGCAGGGCATGAGCCAGGCAATGCCGTGGCGACCCCTCCTTGCACTAACGAGCCCTCGCAGTGGGAAGGGAAGATACGCACGTCACGATGAGCTTTCCCAATGAAGTCCCGTAACTGCACAGCACGACAAACCACCCCATTCAAAAAGTCTAAACGACGAAGGTAATCCAACGTCACCTTGGAGTGAGCTCCCTGGTACTAGAGAAGAGCCCGCGCATTCCATGAGGTAAACGAAACCAATCCGCGCCCTCGATATTCACCACGAAGCAGTCTCCCCAGCCCACTAAAGACACCATTCAGCCGTCTCAGGCGGTGCCACGATGGCGGCAGCCGCAGCCGATAACTGCTACTTCGGGAGCCCAAGCTTGGTGATGAGGTTGCCGGCCCAGTTGAGCGTGGACGGCGAGTTGCCAGGGTTCGGGCTGATCTTGAGAATCGGGTCCCAGCCTGCCATGACATATCCTCAGTCCTTGTCAACAAACCAACGCTTGGTGGAGTCGATCTCTTTGAAGGCGCCCCGAATCTTCCGAGCCTGCATCTCCATGCGAATTTGTCGCGGATTTTTGTCAGGACCGATATGAAGAGCTGTGGTCTGCCCATCTGCGGCGGTGGTCTCGAAGCGCTTCCATTGACCAGGTCCCAGACGTTGAGCGGCGAGAACTTCGGCAACCCGACGGGCAGCAGGGGCAGGAGCTCCAACGAAGTCGACGGAGAAGCTGCGGCTGAGGCCTCTGACGAGGAGATCTTGAAGAATTTCGCCTCGACACCGACCTCGGCGATCCAATCAGAAAGGGTATGATGTACATGCTCGAGGGCCGTGAGTTTGGCCGCGATGACTTTGACGACGCACGGGTCGGTATCACGATCGAAATCTGCGGCGGAGACCAGCGGAGCCTTGGGAACGTCATTGGCGACGGCGAGGAGCTCGTGCAGCTTCTTGATCTCGGCCTTGAGGAAGGATATGTCAGAGTCGTGGGTGTCCAGTCGGGTCTCGTGGGCTCGCAGCCGAATGTGCATCCCGTCTAGTTGTTCTTGTAGGCGGCGACTCTGGCCATCCAGACGCTTAGCAGCAGCATCATCAACCATCTTGGGGAGGTCCTTAACACCTTGGGCCAGCTCAGCAGCGTACTCGGCGTGTTTGGAGAGCTGCTCGGCGAAGGGGTTGATAGCGTCGTCAACCGTGGACTTGATGGAGTCAAGCATCGTCTGCTTGTAGTCGCGTAACAGCTTGGTGGCCTCCTCTTTCGCCAGGTACCGAGTGTACTCGTCAGGTCCTGCTTCTTCCCATTCCCAATCTGCATCGCCATCTTCACCGTGAGGGCCACGAGCAGCATCACCTGCAGCGGGTGCAGAACGGTCTTCTTCAGCTGCAGCAGCAGGAGCACCTGCGCCACCATGAGGCTGAGCAACAGCGGCCCCTGAGGCGTCATCGCTGACGTCGCCATCGTGCAGGTCGGGCTTCTTCGGGGCCTTCATCTGCTTCTTCGGCTTCTTGACGCCGAGGGACGCCACAGGCATGCGGCGGCCCGAGCGCGCGGCGCC